GGTGGCAAAATACATCTAGGAGGTCAAGGCACGTAGGGGGCAAGGTAAAAGGGGGCGACCAACGTGGGTGCGAGTCGAAAACAATTTTTTCAGCGTTTCAATCCTCGACGTCGCCCTGCAAACCCCTCTGAGCATGCCCCTCAGCATCTTCGCGCGAGCCTTGCACCACTCGAGTCGCTCGTCCGCGAGGCGCCACATCTTCTCCTCCCTGGCGCTCACGATGTCAAACGCCGCCTTCTTGGGGAAGAAGGGATGAGGGTGGCAGTGGATGGAGATGGGGATCGAGAGGAGGATCGAGAGCTGGATCAAAAAGGGAAACATTCGAGAGAGAAGAGGGCGGATGACGAGAGGAGGAACACGGGGAGGATGGCATGGAAGGAGCGGAGAGGCAGGGGGGGTGGGTAAGGAGGGAGAAAAGTAGCAGAAACCAGAGAAAGGAAGGTATTCCAGACCCGACTCCCGCCGTCGCAGTCTGTTGAGGAATGCCACCTTTTGGAGCAAGTTCGCGAACAGCAGTCAACAGCTCGACATGGCCCGCGATAATCTTCTCGTCCGCGGGCGCGTCGATATCCTCCGAATACTGCAACCTTACGTTGCCGATCTGCTCTCCCTGTCTCTCTCTCTTGCTTCTCCTCCTCCTCTTGCTTCTCCTCCTCCTCCTCCTCATCATCCTCCTCCGCCGCCTCCTCCTCCTCCTCCTTCTCCTCCTCCTCCTCTCTGTCTCTGTCTTGATTTCCGTGCCTGGCCTCCCCTCTGCAGTTCCTCATCGTCCTCCTCCTCCACTTCTTTTTCCTTATCCCCCTTCTCTCTCCCACCCCCTCCCCCCCTCTCCCTCTCCCTCTCCCTCTCCCTCTCTCTCTCTGTCTCTCTCTCTCTCTCTCCCTGTTTCTCTCTCTCTCTCTCTCTCTCTCTTTCTCTCCTTCTTTCTCTCTCTCTCTCTCTCTCTCTCTCTCGCCCCCTCTCTCCCTCCCCCTTCCTTCTCCTCCTCGTCATTACCCTTCTCTTTTCCGTTTTTTTGAAAGTGCAATGATGGTCGCCGTCAACTTCCCCCTCTTCCTCTCCCTCCTCTCCCCCTTCTCCTTCTCCTGCTTGTCCTCCTTCCCCCCATTCTTGTCCACGATCGACCAGCGATCGGGAACGCGATCTGGAACCCATCCCGATTGCGCCTGAGCTCGCAACGTTTCTGGAGAAACGATGAAACGCTTCAACACCTCCGCCAGCGCGCCAGCATCCTTGAAGCCCTCCGAGCGGACGGCGCCCTTCTTGGCCGCGCGGGGCGGCCCCTCGTCGGCCGACATGGCCGACCAGCCAAAATGGCTGCAGCTGCAACCAAACGCACAAACAAAACTGACATCGAGAGACCAATCTGAACACATGAGCTGAAACATCGAGAAGGATTCCAGCTACATTTAAGAACATTGCGACATTTTCACGATCACCTCTGCTATGATAAATATAACGCGTTTTTGTTGAGTGCGTGCACGTTTAACATTATATTTTATTGAATACATATGTTGGGACTATTTTTCATGTTGGGACTATTTTAAAATAGTCCCAGCGATAAGGCCGGTTTTCTAGTCCCTACGGACCTTAGGGTATGCCGACCCACCGACCGACCGTGCACCCCCCCACCCCTCTGTGCCCCGTGGGCCCCTTCTGCTCATCTCGACCGACCGACCGCGACCGTGCCTCCCTTATTCCGACCGACCGACCGACCGTGCCCCTACCCCGTGCCCGACCGTGCCCTCCCGTCCCCCTGCTCCCCCGCCTCACCCCGTGGCCGCTTATTCCGACCAACCGACCGACCGTGCCCCCCCCCCCCCCTGTCCGACCGTGCCCTCCCGTCCCCCTGCTCCCCCCCGCGCCCTGCCGCCCGTGGCCCCCATCTGCTTGTTCCGACCGACCGACCGACCGACCGTGCCCCCCCCGTGTCCGCCCCGTGGCCTCCGTCTGCTTACTCCGACCGACCGTGCCCCCCCTCCGCCCCGTGGTTCCCGTCTGCTGATTCGCCAACCGACAGAGCGATTGTGCCCCCCCCCTGCCCGACCGTGCCCTTCCGTCCCTCAACTCCCTCTCCGCGCCCCTCTGCCCCGTTGCCCCCGTCTTGCTTATTCCGACCAACCGACCGACCGCGCCCCCCCTCCCAACTGTGGCGTCCATCTGCTCATTCCGACCGACCGACCGCGACCGTGCCCCCCCCGGTGTCCGCCCCGTGGACCCGTGTGCTTATTCCGACCGACCGACCGTGCACCCCCCTTCCGCCCCGTGGACCCCGTCCGACCGACAGACCGTGCCCCCCCCCCTCCCCCCGTGGCCCCTGTCTGCGTCTTGCTTCCTGGGAATGAGAAGCACTCCATTCTCTAGAGTTGGTTTCGCCCACGGCAGCCGCTAGAGCCAAGTGGGCGCAGGCGCTGGGCATCCCCGACACGTTCGAGGGAGCGGCCGGCGCCCAAGGCCCGCACCAAACGAGGCCCGCTGCGGGGTCAGGAGCGAGGCCCGCTCAGCACTTCTTAGTGCCAGCGCTCGAGGGAGTGCCCACCTCTTTCGGTTTCGCCTCTGCCGAGGAGGCTCGCGTTCGCAGCCGCAGGGCTGTGGCTGAGAGCGGCGAGGGCCGCTCCGCGACAGGGGGCGACCTCTAGCCCACGGGGCTGAGAGGGGCCGAGGCTTTTGGCTTTGGCCCCCTGTGTGGCCCTCCTGGGCGCCGCGCGCGTGCGGCGTTCTGCGGCCGCCGATGCCGCCGCGCCAGCGCCCTGGCCTCCTTTGCCTGTGGGAGAAGCGGAAGAGCCTTCTGCCCATCTGCCCATTCCTTGCGCCCCGCCGCAATCTTGTGCAGTCCCAGGTTGTTGGCCAGGCTGAAGTCTTTGGGTGTGCGCGACGTGCTACATGTACAATCGCCAGCCTCGGCGCGCGCACTGAGGGCTGGCCAAGGCGCGCGCAAGTTCCGATGGCAAGTCCTTGTAAAGTTCGAGGGCCCAAGCCCGCAACCCCCTGCCCGACCGTGCCCTCCCGTCCCCCGCTCCCCTCCGCCCCATGGCCACCCGTGGCCCGTGGCCCCCGTCTGTATATTCCGACTGTCCGACCGACCGTGCCCCCTCGACAGACCGTGCCCCTCTCCTCCGCCCCGTGGCCCCCGTCTACTTGTTCCGACCGGCGGACCGACCGTGCCTTCCCCCCCGCCCCTGCCCGACCGTGCCCTCCCGCCCTCCTGCTCCCCTCCGCGTTCCTCCGCCCAGTGGCCCCCGTCTGCATTTTCCGACCGAGCCACCGACCGTGCCCCTCCCTCCGCCCCGTGGCCCCGGTCTGCTTATTCCGACCGACCGACCGTGCCCCCCCCTACCCGACCGTGCCCTTCAGCCTCCCTGCTCCCCCCCGCGCCCCTCTGCCCCGTGGCCCCCGTCTTGTTGATTCCGATCGACCGACCGAGCCGTGCCCCCCCTCCGCCTCGTGGCCCCCGTCTGCGCATTCCGACCGACCGACCCGACCGTGCTCCCCCCCCCTCCGCCCCCGTGGCCCCAGTCTGCTTATTCCGACCGACCGACCGACCGAACGTGCCCCCCCCCCCCCCTTCCGCCCCGTGACCCCCGTCTGCTTATTCCGACCGTCGACCGACCGTGCCCCCCCCCTGCCCGACCGCTCCCTACCACCCTGCTCCACCCCGCGCCCCTCCGCCCCGTGGCCCCCGTCTGCATATTCCGACCGACCGACCGACCATGCTCCCCCCCTCGCCGCCCCGTGGCCCCCGCCGACCGACCGTGCTTTCCGTTCTCTCTCCCTGGCCATCCCCTGTCCCCCCCCCTCCGCTCCGTGGCCTGTCCGCCTGCTTAGTCTGACCCACCGACTGTGCCCCGCCCCCCTCCCCCGGCTCCGGCCGTGCCTCTGGCCCCCCCCTCCCCCGAACCCCCGCGAGGGGCCCAAAAGGCCCCCGGACAGCCCAATATTGACCCAGAACAACACAAAAGAGCCCCAGGCGGGCCCACACAAGACCCCCAATCAGCCCCAGAGACGCCCAATAGCACCATGGCCCCGTAGAGTCACAGAGGTGCCACCAGCTCACAGTGACATAACTAATTCTTCACGCCATATATAGCTCAACGTGTCGCAGCACTCGCGCGCTTCCCCGAAACTACCACAAGTTGGCGCCACCTCCATTTCCCAGTGTCCCACATCCGTGATTGTATGATCCTTGGCACGCGTGCCTCTTGTATCATTGAAATCATGGCCATCCACATGCCTCGATCCCACTCACGACCGATCCTGTTGGTGCCGCTGAAGTCAAACGGGCACTGTAATGGCCGACATAACGCAACAGCTATACACACATTCGGCCACATCGAAAATACAGCGACCGCTTTTGCCCAAATGCATCCACTTAGGTCATGCACAATTCGAGCCGATCTGGCCTGATTCATACACATTTGCACTGAGTTGATTGCTAGCCATCTGCATCGGATTCTAACCAGCCCGACGCTGTCGGTAACACCTGGGCCATGTCTACACTACTGCGAGCAACCCGACGCCATCATTGCATTTTGAATCGTATCGAGACGACAACGGTCGATCTGACCCATATGGTGCACTTTGAACCATATTACAAGCAACTTCAGCCTATCAGAACTAAATGATACACGAACGCATCGTCTTGTTGGCGAACCTCGGATCCACGACCAGTGCACGGTGGCGGGATGGGCCGACTGCCCCTATGTGCTCCAATGTTATCACCGTAGCCTTAGTTGGTGAAGAAATTCCATGATACAATCCTGCCGGTTTCAAAGAACCCCTTGATCTAAACGAATTGACGCCTCACTTTTACTTTCGCCGCTTCCCGCCGTGTGTTCCGCTGGAAGACCCACCGCCGTTTCTCTTTCGCGGGCTTCCGCCGGCCTTCCGCCGAAGGCCGGGCCCCTGCCAGAGCGTCCCCAGTCGATCCCACAGAGGGCATCGAGTTCGAGCGCAATGCCTGAGATCTCTGAGGAAGCTGCCACATTCAACAGCATGGGCGCCTTGCCGTCACCGACAAGTCCGAGTACGAGTAATCCAGCGGCACCTTAATTCTCCACTCCTTCGTGGCTGGAGCATCTGTGAAACGTTTCTCTGGTCTACCACTACTTTCCAACAGCAACTCGTACGCCAAGATGGACCAGGGAAGGTTGGATCATCTACTGGTGACGAATATTGAAACTCGCTCACCAATCATCGGGCGATCGGGCATCCCAGACCCCCTCGAGTAATGGAAAAAACACGACGGGAAATTTTTCAAGATTTTTAGCCCCTGGGGGCCCTTACCGGGCCTCGGGACCGTCAAAAACCGACTCGGGATGACGAACCGGTCCCGGGGAATGGGTTCAGACCTCTGGGGGTCGACGTTATGAAAAAATCATGACGTCGGGGGTCTGGGATGTGTGGTCGAAGGGGGCAACGGACGACGGAGAGCAGGCGACGAGGGGTACAGGGGGGTGAAGGTCGAAGGGGAGGGCGAGGACTGGGAGAATGGGCAGCAGCAGCAGTAAGAGGTTGGAGGGCAGGTTGGTGGGGATTGCGCGCGATCCAACTCACGAGTGTATCGGAACTTGCGCACCAACATCTCGAACATCACTGAAAGATCTGCTTCTCCTTTGATGCACCGAAAGGGCATAACGCACATGTCCAATTCGAGGAACACTGGTGCATTCCAAACCAAAGATCCACGACAATGCAACAAGCTGGCCTCACGTTATCATGTACAAGTATGCCGCGGCAGCTGCGGTAATTTGGAAAAGAGGGATATCGGCAACCTTCGGCAAAACGTGTAAGGCCATCTCGGACTACGCGAAGGCTCGAGCGATGAACGCACTCGAGGACGAAGACACACGCCGTAAGTGCCACGATCGTATGTGATAGGCTTCGCTATGGTAGAAAGAACTCAAGGCAACAAACAAACGCGACTGTACATTCTGGTCGTCGCAGTGGATGAGTCGTCCCATGGAATCTCGGTGCGACCGAAAGGGTGGAACGTGTACAGCTTTGTAGATTCAGACGTGGTTGCCAAACCAATGGCAGAGACAACCTGCAAGCCAGGGTACGCGGTACAACCCACTGCTTAGCTAGTAGCTGAGCTAAGCAAGCTATCTGGAGCAGGATGCGTCTTGATGCAGGGGGGACCCGGATCACGGGAATTTGGCGGATCACGGGAATTTGGCAGTCTGGTTTTTCGTTGGGTGGGGTGAGGGCTCTTCCCGCCCCCCAGGCTTGTGAACATATAGGAAGAGGAATGGGCGGAGAGAGAGAGAGAGAGAGAGGGAGATATCAGAGAGTAGAGAGAGAGGGAGGGAGAGAGAAAGAGAGAGCGAGAAAACTAGAGAGATAGAGGGAGAGAGCAAGAGAGAGAGAGAGAGAAATAAAGAAAGAGAGAGATATAGAGAGAGAGAGAGAGAGAGATATGGAAAGCGGAAGAGAAAGAGAGGGAGAGACAGAGAGAAAGAGAGAGAGAGAGAGGGAGAAAGAGAGAGAAAGAGAGAGAGAGAGAGAGAAAGAGAGAGAGAGAAAGAGAGAGAGAGAGAGATGGAGAGAAAGAGAGAGATGGAGGGATATGGAGGGAGAGGCAGAAACGAGCAGCTAGTCGCAGCTAGAGACCGCAGGGCCCGGCGCGGAGGGCGGCGCCGAGGGCGCCCCCGCCGCCCGAGGAGGTGGCCGGCTGCGGCCTCGCGGCACTCTGCGGGCAGAGGGCGGAGAAGCCGCGCTCGCGGGTCGGCGGGCACGCGGCGTCGCGCAGACGTGGCACGCGATGGCTTCCAGGCGAGCGTCTACCAAGGAGGAGGAAGGAGGAGGAGGAGGAGGAGAAGGAGGAGGAGGAGGAGGAGGAGGAGGAGGAGGAGGAGGAGGAGGAGGAGGCTACGCTACGCAGTTGTGCCGGTGCTTGCCGTGAAAAAGGAGGAGGAGGAGAAAAAGGGGGGGGGAAAAGGGGGAGGAGGAGGGAGGAGGAGGAGGAGGAGGAGGAGGAGGAGGAGGAGGAGGAGGAAGAGAAGGAGGAGGAGGAGGAGGAGGAGGAGGAGGAGGAGGAGGAGAGACGCAGTAGAAGGTGAGTCCAAGTCGCCCGAACCCACTCTACATAAGATTAAATCAAAACTCGAGGGCCCAGGATCGGTGCCAGCCAGGCCCCAGGACCCTCAACCGCTACCTAGGCGGCAGCCCACTCCTCAACCTCTCGAGGCGGGTCTTCTGGGCGCTGAGAGTCTTGGGGACCTCCGAGGGTCCCTTACAAGGGGCCTTGAGACCAAGCACCCTCCCAGACTCCCCCGCGAAGCAAGCGCACCGCTCGCAGAAGACGTACACCCCCGCCTCGGCCATCCGATGGCCGAGGTCGCGGAACAAGGCCACGTCGGCAAAACGCCGCGCCCCAGAGTCCCCCCCAGAGCCAGACGTCCAGGCAGGGCCCGTCCCAAGGACCCTTGCCGCCGCCTCCAAAGCGACGTGGACCGCATCGGAGGTAGGCCTCCAATCGGAGCCCCGCGAGAAAGCACGGGCGGCCTGCCAGCGCTGCACCTCGGTCGGAGTGCAGCGCGCCGAGCAGGACCTGAGGGCGCGGAGACCAGCTGCAGTCCTGGTCGAGACACCACAACGCCTGCACCTCCATTCCTGGGCGGCATCGCTCCTATACATGCTATGGCACGCAAGTGGCTCTCCAGGCTCTAAAAACTCAACAGGGGTCGGGCGGGGGCCAGGCCTCAGACGAGAACGAGCAGCCCTCTCCGACGACGACGACGCCCCAATCCCCAAGTCGATGGCCCGACCCCCAGCCCAAGCCAGATATTTGGCATACTCCTGGCACTCCTTGAGTGCGATCCGAAACAGATCTGCTGTGCCCTGCCCAACCATCTGGCTGGCAGCACCAGCCTTGGCAAAGAAATCAGCCCAGGCATTGCCCAGGACGTACATAAAAGGCGGGCCAGATCCAAGGGTTTCGCAAGGGCAGCCTCGGGCAGGCCCCTATGGACAGGACACCAGTGCGTCATGGGCGGGACCCCTCCACGACGCACGACCGCCGCGCGAATCTGCCGCCACACGGCAGCATGCTCGGCCCCTGGACCTTCAGACACCGCACTCCACTCCTGCGCTTCATTGGCCAGGCCTAACAGATCAGTGACGACGACCTGCAGCGACGGGATATTTTCCACCGCCCGCAAGTATGCAACCCGCTCGGCGTCGCCAACTGTCTGACTGACGCCTCCGGGTCTGCCATAGCACGCTCTTAGTGGCGTGCCCGACGCGCTCAGCTGGACAACGCCCCAGCCGCGCGCCCTAATCTCTGGTTGAGACGACCACATGCCTGACCCATCCGTGAACGCGGCATTGGACCACTGCAAGGGATCAGATTCCCAATCCCCCCACCAGAAAATCGGTGGGTCGCGCGGAGGGTCAGGAGGGTTCATCGGGAGCAAAGGGAGCCCAACCGACAACTCAAAACTCTCGGGGTCCAGAGCGGCCCCTCGGCGCCCAACAGGCCCTTGGTCCAAAAACCTATCACGAGTTTTGGCCATGGACTCAGAAATCGGAACTTCATCTTCAAATTCCAGCAACTGCTCACGCAGCACAGGGCATTCGAGCAGCAGGTGACCACGCGTCTCTCTGTCCGCTCCGCAGCCCCTACACTTAGGATCGGGGGCGAGCCCTTTGTCGTGCAACTTAGCCTGGGGCCACCAGGAGTCGGACCAGAGAGACCGAAGGATCCCCGCCGACCTGGGGTTTTTGAGCGCGGCCCACTTGGACCCAGCACAGGCGCGGATCCCACGGGGCCATAACTCAGCGTCCGCGGGGAAACCAGGAAAATGAGCCTGGATACGACGCATCTGCCAGCGCTGGATGCCAGCACGTAGAAACTTAAATAAATGTTGCGGATCAGTCTGCAGCAGAGAATACACCATTCCCTGATCGGAACGGATAAGCACAGACGACTCCATGCACCAGTCAACGCGGAGGAGAGAAGGGCCACCACCGAAAGCGGGCCCGAAGCGTGGGGCCAGGAGAATTTCTGCCCCCGCTTTTCGGCCAGGGCCCTCCAAGCCCTCTCGAGGGCACCCAGGGACACAGTCTGCATCCACACCACCTGGGCATAGTGTTTGACTGGAGCAATCGTGGCTTCAAAAATCGGGTCGCACCACGGATCCGACTGAGACGCCAAGTAGACCGTCAAGGACCCCCCGCGACCCTTGGCGCCAACCAAAGCCCCCGCAGCAGCTCTCAACTTCCGAAGCTCGGAATCCGTGGTCCCAGAAACTGCACAGCAGTGACTAGCGCCTGGCAGAAGTCCAGTGCGCCACAGAACAGAAACACGAGTCCCCGCAGCCTTCTGCAGAGGGTAAACACGCTTCATCCGACGACCAAACTTAGCGATCCTCTGTCGGGTGAGCGGTCTTCTGCGCTCACGCCCCGAGAGCTCGTGGCCAAGATTGCGCATGTTACGCTTGGCTTCCAGCCGAACAGCTCGGGCCCAGGGTTTTGAGGCCCGCAGGACCTTGCGATTGGCCACCACGTAGCCAGACTTCCCCGAGGCCGAGTCCTGGAGCACGATCCCGAAGGGCTTAACATCAGCTTTAAAGTTGGCCAGCGCATTAAAGAGCTTCGAAATCCCCCCCGCCTCCTCCCCAACCCACTGAATCGTGAGGTCGTCGACCAAAGCACGAGGCGCGACGCCACTCGCGCGGACACGCCGCACCGCACGCAGGGCGAGGAGAGTGAGGAGGGAGGTGGAATGGGCGCAGCCTGCAAGCATGCCCTGCCACGAGACAAAGGGCTCTGAATAGGAGGTGAAGGCCTTCAGTACCCTCGGCTGGCGATGGTATTCAATCACCATCCAGGCCAGTCGCAGCGGAAAACCATGGTGGCGGGCCTCACAGATCAGCTCGCCAGGGCTGACGGACTCGTAGGCCTTCCACGCGTCCACCGCCGCCGTAGCCGTGTGCCAGCCGAGCAGCGACGCAACCTCCACCATCAGGTTGTGCTCGAACGCCGCCGCCGAAGATGTACGACCAACGCCTCCAGCTCCCCAAACATCACGAAGGTCAGTCTGAATCACCCACTGCCGACTGATGGAGCTGCGAGCCTTAGCCCACACCCGAACCAGCGTCTGGACCAAAGCAATGAGACGGGACCCGCATCCTTCCTTCGGCAGCCTCACCAACGTGGTGAATATGCGATTATCTGGCCAAAAACCCAACATCTCGCACCGTTGGAACAACTTCGACAGCACAATGAGACCTGCATCCGAGAGGTGCCACAGAGCACGCGGAGCAATGCCAGACTGACCCACAGCAGTCTTCGCCTTGAGCTTTAAGAAGACCCCCCGCAGCATGGCCACGGACATCTCGGGCAACAGGTCCCAGTCGTTGAAATCAGGGGGCCTAACACACTGCGTGAGGCCATGCACCGTCCAGATCTTTTTCCACTTCTCCATCTCCCGCTGCACGAGCTGATGGGGGCTGGCCCTCGTGGTCGGAGCCAGCAACGGATGGACCCGAGTAAACCGATGGGCCATTGAAGCACCTCCACTCAAAGCATCACGAGCCCACTGCCGCCAATTGGCCCCTTGCTCGCGTTCGAACTCCTTGCTAGCTTCATCGGCACGATCCAGGAAGCTTTGCACTGCCTGTTCAGCCAACGAGTCTGCCCAGACAGCGATGCCACGAGCCAGGAACTGCGCCAGGTCTACGTCCAGCATGTCCAGCGTCTCCGACGCCCGACCAATCTTCACGTAGAACTGATTCAGCTCGCACAGCAGCTCCACCAACTGAGAAGTCTGACCAACATATACAGAGCACGCCACGTTGGCAGCCATCAGCCTCTTCCCGAGCACACAGACCTGCTGCCACATAGAGCGACCATGCCTGAGCCAACGTGCTGCCACCTGCAGCGCCGCCACCTGCGAAGTCTGGCACACTCTCCGCCGAGGGGGCTTCCACTCGAGCTTCACCATGCGAACGGAGACGTTGCCCCCACGACCTCCATGCGACGACCTTTCCAGCCGTCTGTGTCCCCATCGATCAGACAGCTCACATTCAATACCATGCAACACCTGGTCCCAAGCACGCTGTAGGCCCACCTGGCCCTCAGCTGTCAGAACAATGTAGAGCACGTTCCCATTCACGAGTACGCGGGAAAGGCGAACAACCAATCGGAGCCTCGGACCCCCAGCCGCGAGGCTCCGCGGGCAGGCGAGCCCACGCCTCAACATCATTCACTGCCAGGGGAAAGTGAACAGGGTGATTGGGATACAGCGCAGACTCCTGGTCCACCCAGGGTGGGTCCACCCGCAAAGCCAAATTGCTGCAAACAATGCCAAAGTCAATGATACTCCATTGGCCTTTCACGCAGGTACACTCACTCGGCACGCAATGGACCCCTGGGAAACCTTGGCTCCACCCTGTCATCAGCACATCCGAGCTCATGTTGAAGCCCCCACCACAGACCCAATCGAGCTTTAAGGCCGCAGTAACAGCAAGTAGTGTTGCAAGTGGGCCTGAATGAAAGCGTTATCGTCATTGAGTCCAACCGAACCATGAAAGTAGGCTGACACCACAACAATGCCATTGCGCACACCCCAGTGTACATGAGCAGCACAAAGCCTACCAGGCACGATGTCCTGGTCGAAGTAGGGCGCCGCCGTGACCGAGATGTGCGTCTTGGTAAGGATAGCCAGAGGTCCCACCACCCTCTGACGGCACCGCAGCACTCCAAACTCCATGATAGCCGAGATCCTTCGCCTGATTTTGCAACGAGCCCAGCCGAGACAGCGTGCCATGATGCTCCTGCACAGCACTGATGGAACTGGGCGGGCCAGCTGCTAAATACTTGATGAGAGGGCCGCCACTCGACACATTCACCGTCGTGATGAGGCCTTTGACCCCCCTCCCGTCGCCACCACGCCCACCTGCATGGGAAAGATGGGCAGGTGGCTGTCCTGACACATTTTTCGAGACTGCTACGAGCTCCACTGGGGACGAGAGACTCGCCAGCGGCTGCTGGTACCCTCTGCCACCCGATGCCACGGAGGGCGAGGGTGGTGAGCAGTGCATACAGCCGCTGGCGTCTGAAATCGAACTAGACGAGACGCATGTCGACCAGGTCCCGCCAAGAGGAGGTAGCCCATGTGGCGACCTCTGCTGAGCCTGCTTCACAGCATGCCCAGTGAGTGCACCGCTCGACGCCGAGGAACCAGCCGCCCCCGAACTCCCAGCGCTGCATGCCGAACTCCCCAAGGTCGAGGTAGTGGGCAGAAAAGAACCTGAGAAACTACCAGACATCATCATGGCAACCGACAATAACCACCGAAGCACAAACATGATAATCCAGCAATTAGTACGGGCTCCAGGCCTTCGCCCCGCAGAAGGATTTCTTGGCCATCGCCCGCAACTCTTCAACCTCAGACGGTAGCTCTCCGACGAATCCGACTGCTGATAGACCTTCCCGCAGCTTGTCCTCGTCCATCCCATCGAAGTCAGGCTCCGTGAACTTCGGCTTCTTCTGGGACGGTTCGCCATCAGATACAGCGGCACCCCCACCCCCACTGGGCTCTTGCACAGGTACCACCAGCTTCTCCACCAACGGGTTGGCCTTGATCGCAACGAGCAATTCACCGTGGACGCCCGCCGCCTCCAGCAACGCATCCAGCACCGACGTGTCAAGCTGCCCACCAGCAACAGGCTTGGCACCATCAGGAGGCTGTGGAGCCGAGTTGCCCAGCTGCTGCAGCTGGCCTTCAAGCTCCACGATGACAACCCGCTGGGCCGCTGCCTTCGACTCCGCCTCTGCCGCATCCTTCTGCAATTCCGAGAGCTCAGCCGCCTTAGCAGCTGCAAACTTCTCCAGCTTCTCCAGCTTCGAAGTCTCATTCTGCAGCTTCGTGGACAACTGCCGAATCTGCGCACACAGCGGTTGCTTAGACCGTCGCTTCTCCAGCAAAGCACCCTTTGCCGCCAGCGCGTCGGCCGCCATCTGCTCCATGCCTGGCACGCCGACGCACGCCGCGTGGATGCCCTCGTGGGCCGCGACCTGCACCATAATCTTCGCGTCCTCGTCGTCCTCCGACTTGCCCTGCTCCGTAAGCTGCACACCAGGTTGCGCCCCACCGGGCAACTTCTGGGCATTCTGCTTGCGGAGCTCTGCGACCCCAGCCTGCAGCCGAGCGAGCAGCTTGGCCGTGTCCGATGGCGCCGCCCATGGAGGAGAGCGCTCTGGCATGGCTTTACGCACCGACGGGACCTTGGGCTCAACGTTGCGAAGGAAACACGAGCCCTTGTGCATCCCACCACAGCCGTCTTTGACCCGCCCAGCACAGTACATCTTGTACCCTGGGTTGACCCAAGGCTCGCCAGAGCGCTGCACACAAAAGCGACAGAGCCAATCCAGCTTGTCAGGCGGAGGGGCCATGGCTGCGACGACTGGGGAGTCGGGTTGGAGGCTCGCGAACCCCTCGACCGAGGGACCTCCGTACACTCAGTGATCTGCCGCGGACTAGCGGTATCCGTTTTTGCCAATGCGGGCTCAGCCCGCCAAAGCATAGGTCTTGAGCCAAAATGGCTACGGAGGAGGAGGAGGAGGAGGAGGAGGAGGAAAAAGGGAAGGAGGAGGAGGAGGAGGACAAGAGGGAGGTGGAGGAGGAAAAGGGGGAGTGGTTGGCCGTGGCGACGAGCCAGCCTGAACGGGAGGTCCGGCCTGACCGGCAAGCTGCTCGGCTCATCACGGTCAAACCGTATCATGCAAGGGCCTCCTCCTCCTCCTCCTGCCCCTCCTCCTCCTGCTTCTCCTCCTCCTCCTCCTCCTGCTCCTCCTCCTTCTCCTCCTCCTCCTCCTCCTCCTCTTGGTTGACGCTTTTCTGTCGAGGCTGGCTAGCGACAGCCGCTGAGGATGGGCCGTAAGTGCACGGATGCAAGGGTACCCCCCTTGGGAAGGTTGCCCATCCTTACCGTGCGGGTTGACTGTAGGGCCGTCTAAAGCTGAAGCAAGAACAAGAGAGATAGAGAGAGAGCAATGACATAAACATAACAACTCGGAAATCTGAGAGGATTTCTCAGATCCGCGCTGGACCCCCCTTTCATGGAGCGCTGAGCGCGCCAGGGGCGGCGCCAGAGGCGCCGGCAAGGGGGTCCAGCGCGGATCCGAGAAATCCGCGCGGACTTCAGAGTTTTTATGTGTATGTGAATGTTCGTTCCCCTTAAGAGAGAGAGAGAGAGAGAGAGAGAGAGAGAGAGAGAGAGAGAGAGAGAAAAAAAAAGAGAGAGAGAGAGAGAGCACAGAAACGCGAGACATCGCGCCGCAACGAGAGTCCGCATGCGGCCGTCGGCGCTGCCAGCACCTCGTACGGCAGACCTTCTTGGCATTGGCAGGGCGATTCGCGAAGCTCCTCGGCCCCTTCTCGGCATGCGGCCACGGCACGCCAGAAACGGTCGGGCAGGCTCATGCAGGCTTCCCTACGACAGTGCAGGACCCCCCCCCATGGCAACGGAGGGCCCTCCCACGGAGACGCCGGCGCCCGCGCTGGGCAGTCGGCCCCAGCGCGGGCCCCGACGCTCCCCGAGGCCTGGCCTGCTGGCCGCGGCGGCGGAGGTGGCGCGCAGCGTCCGAGCCTGGGCGACGGCGGCGCGTGGCGCGAGGCGCACGGCGTCCCAGGCCGACTGGAGGCGCGCGTCGGCCTGTGCTGCGCGCCCGTGAGGCGGGCGAGGCCGGCCTGCGGCCGGCCGCCGCACCGCTGCCCGCGGCCGTTGGACGGCTGGGGTGCGGCTGTCAGGTGCCGTGTGGGGTGGTGGGCCGCGAGGAGCTGTGTCCCTGGAGGAGGAGGAGGAGGAGGAGGAGGAGGAGGAGGAGGAGGAGGAGGAGGAGGAGGAGGAGGAGGCGGAGGAGGCGGAGGAAGAGCTGTCCCTGGCGGGGCTGTCCCTGGCGGGGTAGGATCAAAAGGGCTGTCCCTGGCGGGGCTGGCACGCGGCCCGGAACCCGCCGACGCCACACGACAAGGGGGTCTGGCGAGGTGGGCGGCCGGGGCCCGCCGTGGGTCCATTGGGCCGCGGCGGCCAGCGGGACGGCCCCGGGGTTGGGCTCCTCGCGCGAAGCTGCAACCAAGGGCAGGGTGGGCGGAGCCGCGTTCCCCGCCTCCCAGGAGAAAAATCAAGAACAGGGCAAGAGAGGATTGGGCGTGGCAGATCGGCTAGGACGGAGAGGAGGAGGATGTGGAGCGTGCCCAGGGGGTCCTAAGACGGGGATGAGACGGAGGAGGGGGAGGAGGAAGGGGAGGAGGAGGAGGAAGGAGGAGGAGGAGGAGGAGGAGGAGGAGGAGGAGGAGGAGGAGGAGGAGGAGGAGGAGGAGGAGGAGGAGGAGGAGAGGAGGAGGAGGAGGAGGAGGAGGAGGAGAGGAGGAGGAGGGAGGAGGAGGAGGGAGGGAGAGGAGGAGGAGGAGGAGGAGGAGGAGGAGGAGGAGGAGGAGGAGGAGGAGGAGGGGAGGAGGGAGGAGGAGGAGGAGGAGGAGGAGGATCTGTCTGTGCGGGATATACACGACGGGTTTGTGAGATTCTGGTAACTTTTGGACCAGGAGGCGGACGGCCGTTGTGCTGAGGGGCTCGGCCACCTGGCATCTTGGACCCCTGATGTCTTCCCCCCTGTGCTCTGCTTTTCCCTGGAATGGGCTGCTGCAGACATTGGCCCTGAGCTGCGCTCGAACGATCGAGGGGCCGCCTAAGGTCCAGGCTGGCCTCTGCTGCGAGGACACGACTCGCAGAGGCCTGCCCGTGCAGTCCTCGATGGCGGCATACAGGCCCGAGTTCTCGCCCAGCGTGCCAGACCTCGGTCAAGCGCGGGCATGCTCTCTCCGTCATCGTTCTTCCTCCTCATCCCTGTTCCTTCTCCTCCCTCCTTGGCCTCCGTAGCCATCTTTGGCTCAAGTCTGGAGCCACGAGGCTCCAAGATCTGAGCAGTGGCGAGGGAGGGGGAGGTGCGCCCCCACCGGCGATGGCCTCGGCACTCGTGACAGGAGCATCCCTCTCTTGCGGCACCTCTCTGCTCTTGCCTCCTCCCGCGAGCCCCGAGCGGGGCCCATGGGCAAGCGCGGTGCCAAGCACTGCGCCGCGTGCTCGGCGCATCGGCAACTGGCGGCGGGCCTGGAAGCCCCCGGGCCTCCTGCTGCCGCCGCGGGGCCACGCTCCTGCCCGCAGGCGGGGGCCCTTTGGCGCCCAGGGTCAGAGCGGGGGGGGTGGTCGCCGCCCGGCCCAGGCGCCTCTCGGCCCGTGCGGCGGGGGGCTCGGCGGCGCCCCCCCTGCTCCACCAGCCGCCCGGCGGTGGGTCGGGCATGTCCCCCTACAGGCCGAGCTTGGACCAACGAAAAGAAGAAGACTCAAAAAAATATTCAAGACTGGTCAAACATTGTCGAGACATCGTGCCCCGACCATTTGTGACTGTTCTTGAGTACTCCTACTCTCGAGGGTCAGGCCCGACTTCAGCCCGGCGGTGGGGAGCTCCGCCGCCGAGCGGTGGGCAGCCGGGGTCCTCCGCGCCGCCTCAGCGGGGCGCGCGGGCCCGTGACGGAGGCCTCGCCACCCTCCGACCTCAGCGGCGCAGCTCGGGGCTCGCGTGGGGCCCAGCGGCGCTGGCCAGGCGGAGCCCCAGGCGATGGCCAGGCGCTGGCCGCGGCAGGCCCCCGCGCCGCAGCCGCGGCGGCAGCTGCTCGCGAGGCCTCCACCTCGAGGCCACGGGCGTGGCGTGCCGCAAGATGCGGGCGCGGCTCCAGAGCTGCGCGGACGAGGAGGCCGAGGCGCAGCGCTGGCTCGACGAGTGCCAGGAAGCGGCAGCCGCGGCGGCTGTTTCGCAGCAGCGGAGGCGTCCAAAAGGTGCGGCCAAGGAGGAGCCTGCTGCCAAGCCAGGGCGGGAGCTCGGACTCCCGGCAGGGACGGCTGCAATGATGCGTCGAGAGGAGCCTGCGCCAGCTCTTCGCAGATCACCCCCTCCCAGATCCTCCGCGCCGAGTCCGTCGACGCGGTCGAGGTCGTGGACGGGGGCCTCTGCAGGGGGAGGAGGAGGAGGAGGAGGAGGAGGAGGAGGAGGAGGAGGAGGAGGAGGAGGAGGAGGAGGAGGAGGAGGAGGAGGAGGAGGGCGAGCAGCGCCGGGCCGAGCTCGATGCCAACACCAGCTGGGAGCCGCAAGCGGCCACCCTCGCGACCCTTGGGGCCGGCGGCGGGCAGCGTCCGGCGCCTGCGGCAGGGAGCTCGCGAGGTGCGCGATGGCGCCTCTCGGCGAAGCGGGCTCGATCGGGGCGGAGCTGCACGCACCGCGGCCGACCCAGCGGCGGCACGGTGGGAGGCCGAGGAGGATGCAGCGCGTCCAGCGGCGGCGCCACGCAGCCTGTGGCGCCTCCTGCTGCCGGCCACGCAGCTCCAGCCAGCCCAGGGGCTGCAGGCAGGGTCGCCGCGAGGTCGGACGATGCAGAGGTGCAGGCAACCATCGATGCAGCTCGAGAGGCATGGGAGGCTCGGAAAGACGGACAGCAGCTCTGGCAAGTTTGAGGTCTACCCTTTTTGCGAACCTGGGTAGTCTGGGTAATCGACGGGACGGTACAGAGCCCTAAGCAAGCGGAAACTAACACCTTGGAGAGCACCCCCGCTCGAACCCCGAAGCCTTGCCCTCAAGATCCCCCTCATCAACATCCGATGGCCGAACCCTTTCCAGACCCTTTGCCCAGAACCAATGCCTCGTCCCGATGGACTTTCCACCGCAATTGTTTCGCCTTCCGTTCTGCCGGCGGAAGCGGGGAGCTCGAGTCCGCCGTTCCGGGATGCGCGAGCTGGCGTCTCGGAGTGGTCGGCGGATGCGGCACGTGCGCGGGGAGACCCTCCCTGGCTCGCGGAGCGCGCCAGGGGCGGCGCCGGAGGCGCCGCCGGGGGGCCCAGCGCGGAACCAAGAAATCCGCGCGGAGCGCCAACGGTTATGTTCATGGCGTCTTTTCTCCTTCGAGGAATGGCGGAGCTCGGTGGTCGAGTGGTTTTTCGGAGGCGCGAGCACGAGCGCAGCCTGTGGTCAAGAGCGCGTGGGTGCACGGTGCGCTCGCGGCCTATGCGCGCAGCGTGCCAGGATTAGAGTCGCGCGCGCTCCTGATGTGTTTGCGCAAGTTCTGCGGGCACATCTCGCGCAGGGAGCTGCTAGATGTGGCCAGGCACGCCAACTTCGGGCCTTCTGCGCTGTCCATCGCGCGCCGCGTCGCGTGACGCGCCCCAACGGCACAGCTGTAGCGGGGTGTTCTCCTCCTCTTGGCGACTCTTCGCAGGGTTGCCTGTGCCAGCCCAACAGCAAGAGTGCCATCGGCGAGGTCTCGCTTCGCGCGGGTGTGTGTGTGTGTGTGTCGCGCGGCGGGGGGGGGGGTGCGGCGCGGCCAGGGTAGAGCTGACCAGGTCCTTTCGCATCATCGCGCAGGATCAGCAGGACAAAAGCCTGCCCATCCCCCTGAATTAACTTGGTCTCCTCTCCTCCTCTCGCCAATTGGAAAAAGGCTTGCTGGGGGCATGCGACCTGCCCGAATACGTCAGATATCAGGTGAACCGCGACCTAGGAGGCGATGTCACCGACGGTGGGCGACGCCGTGTGTCGACTCACCAGGACAGGTTCTGCGAGGCCCAGGAGAAGGTTTCCAAAGTCCTGGCCCTTCGGATAGCGGGCGCCCCTTCTGGCAGCATCTTGAAGGCTGCAATCCCAGACCCCGACGTCATGAGTTTTTCATGCCGTCGACCTCCAGAGGTTTCGACCCCTCCCCGGGGACCGGTTCTTCACCGCGAGTCGCTCTCTGACGGTCCTGAGGCCCAGTGGGGGCCCCCAGAGGCCGAAAATTGTGAAGACTCCCCCGTCGCGATTTTTTCCATTGCTCGAGGGGAGAGCATGCTGCTTCGCGCGAGTTGGATCCGTAAGCGGATCGGTCTTGCAAGTGCTGTAGGAGCTATGGTGCTTCTTTTTGATGGTGGGCCAGCTCGGATGCCAGCCCGTGCCCGCCCCGTCCCGTCTCCAGGGACTTCGCACATCCCCCTACGATGGTGGGATGGGGAGACGGCCCGCCGCCCCCTGCGCTGCACGTGCTGCGCAGGGTTAGCGGGGATTTTGATTGAATTCTACGAGGATGTCTTCAGTCCCTCTCCCGCCTTCCCAATCCTGGTCCCCGAGTCCTGTAAGGGTGCCCGAGAGTCCTGGGGGGGAGAAAGAAACTTGACAGGGCACATCTGTCCGCAGGCGTCCTGCGTCGGGTGATGAAATGCGAGACCGGTTCTTCATCGCGAGTCGCTCTCTGACGGTCCTGAGGCCCGGAAGGGGGCCCCCAGAGGCCGAAAATTGTGAAGAGTCTCCCGTCGTGATTTTTCGTTGCTCGAGGAGGTTTGGGATCTCGGCAAAAGCTCTCTTCTTTGGACGCCCGAAACGGGTACGGAAAGAATGGGCACAATGCCCAAAAACAACTGTTGTCCCAAAAACCAACAGCGGCCGCTGTTGGGCAGGCGGCCTTCTGCCTCGAATGGACACAGGCCGCGGCGGCGTGGACAGCGAGTCCGGTTCAAAATGAAATAAATCTACTATTGGGTATTGTACCCATTCTTTCCGTGTTTCGTTCCCAGACCCCCGACGTCATGATTTGTTCATAAAGTCGACCCCCAGAGGTCTGAACCCATTCCCCGGGACCGGCTCGTCATCCCGAGTCGTCTTTTGACGGTCTCACGAGGCCCGGTAAGGGCCCCCAGGGTCCCAAAATCTTGAAACACTTCCCGTCGCGATTTTTTCATTACTCGAGGGGGTCTGGGTTTCGTTCGTGAAAACCTTCGGGGCCGGTGCTCCGGGGCCGGCTGGCGGCGAGCTCGAGCCGCTCGGCCGGCCGGCGCGCCGCGTGCGGCAGGCCGCCATATGCCCGGGGACTGCTCTCGCCGGGGCCTGCGCCGCGGTGCAGTCGTGGGCGGCTGGGCGCGGGGACCCCCCCGGTGCGAGTCAAACGGGCGAAGACCGGTATAAAATAAGTTTTTTCGCCGTCGGGGACACCTGCCCCAGATCGGCTGGAAAGTTTATACCCTTACCTATACGACCACCCTGCGGGTGATAAGGAGGTGAGGGGGGAGGGGGAACCAACGTCTCACTCAATCGATCTCGCTATCGATCTCACAATCAATCTCACATTCGATCTCACTATCGATATCACTATCGATATCGCTATCGATCTCACTATCGATCTCACAATCGATCTCACTATCGATCTCACATTCGGTCTCACATTCGGTCTCACTGTCGATCTCACTATCGATCTCACAATCGATCTCACAATCGACGTCATCATCATCATCATCATCATCATCATCATCATCATCATCATCATCATCATCATCATCATCATCATCATCATAATCATCATTATCATCATCAACATCATCATCATCACCATCATCAACATCATCATCATCACCATCATCATCATCACCATCATCATCGTAATCATCGGGGAGCATCACTATCGGGACACCGACGGGACACCGACGGGACACAGGCGGGACACCGCGCGCCACCGGCCGCCCGGAAGAGACACATTTGGTCCGGCCGCGCCTCAGCCACAAGGACACCGACGGGACACCAGCGGGACACTGGCGGGACACCGCGCGCCACCGGCCGCCCGGTGGAGAATCAGTTGGTCCGGCCGCGCCTCAGCCACAGGAGACTTTCTCTCGCCCGCCCACGCAGCTTCGCCTCGCCCGCACGCACGGCACGCACGAACTCGAAACCGAAATCGATTTCCCGGTAGGGGGGCTCTCCGTTCCACTTCGATCTCACCCCCTCA